AGACTTTGAATTGATAGCACCCCATGGGGCAGTTAAATGCAGTCTTCCATTCGTCCCCTTCCTTGATTCTCACGCGATAGTAAGCTTCCCTTAAGTCTAGTTTAGAAAAAATTTTCCCTTTCGATAGGTGTGACAGCATGTCTTTCATGAGGGGCAGCGGGTATAGGTTGCTTTCACTGATTGTGTTCAGGGCCCTATAATCCACGCATAAACGTAAAGAGCCATCCTTCTTCTCTCTAAAAAGGACCGGGGCAGCCACTTTAGGCTTAGCTGGTTCAATGAAACCTCTCTCCAGGTTTTTTTTTATAAATCTTTCCATTTCCTCCTTCTCCTTTGGGCTCATGGAGTATAATCTGGGCTTCGGGAGTTTTGCCCCAGGCTTGAATTCAATGGTACAGTCTGTGGGTCGGTGGGGGGGAAGCTCATTCGCCCTTTCCTCACTGAAGACTTCAGCAAGGTCCCTATATTCCTCTGGTATTCAACTCAGTACCTAGTTGCCTGGAAACACCTCCCTCCCTCACAAAATGAGTGGGTCCATAAACGTCATGTCAGAGCCCCGAAGCTATTGAAGAAGTTTCACACAGAGTATCCTAACAAGCCTGACTAAATTTTATACTTGTGTTTTCTTTCAGGTGGATCTCTCTTATTGTTAAGAGGGGCCGGATGTCAGAATCCAATTATATTTCATCTTTAAATTATCAAATATAGAAACTTCGTCCCCTTCCTTAATTCTCATGCGATAGTAAGCTTCCCTTAGGTCTAGTTTAGAAAAAATTTTCCCTTTCGATAGGTGTGACAGCATGTCTTTCATGAGGGGCAGAGGGTATAGGTTGCTTTCACTGATTGTATTCAGGGCCCTATAATCCACGCATAAACGTAAGGAGCCATCCTTCTTCTCTCTAAAAAGGACCGGGGCAGCCACTTTAGGCTTGGCTGGCTCAATGAAACCTCTCTCCAGGTTTTTTTTTATAAATCTTTCCATTTCCTCCTTCTCCTTTGGGCTCATGGAGTATAATCTGGGCTTCGGGAGTTTTGCCCCAGGCTTGAATTCAATGGTACAGTCTGTGGGTCGGTGGGGGGGAAGCTCATTCGCCCTCTCCTCACTGAAGACTTCAGCAAGGTCCCTATATTCCTCTGGTATTTCTGTTAATCTTTTTTCCTCTCCTATGGATGCTTTTTCTATTCTTGATTCTGGTAGCCTCTCTTGGGGTTTTAAGTCCATAGGGTCCCCCTTCGGGAATTTGATTTCTGTCGTCCTCCAATTTACCCAGGGGTTCCATTTTTTCAACCATTCCATCCCTAGAATCATTGGGCATTCCATACCTGGGGTCACCACAAACGTTATGTCCTCTTCATGTTTGCCCAGGGAGAGGTGTATTGGTAGAGTGGCTAGGGTAGCTGGCACCCCCCCTGCTATGGATCCATCTAACTGGCCAAATGAGATTGGTTGTTCCAGTCTCCTGGATGGGATGCCCAGATTCCCCACTAGTGTTGGGCTAATGAGGCAGCGGGTGCAGCCAGAGTCTATTAAGGCTTTCACCTTCACAGCTTCGGGCATGGGGGGGATTAATATAGTCACTGTTTTGAAGATGGGTGTGATGCATCCACTTACCAGGGGTTCGCCCTCCGAGCTGTCATCTGAGGCATCCACCGGCCCTGTGGTGTAGGCTGGAGTTCTTTCCCCTTGGTGAGCAGAGGTGGGGGTTTCTGCAATTTCCATCATTCTCATGGCCGTTTCTTTTGGCTTAGCTGAAAACTTTCCGGGTTTGTTGATTGGGGATCTGTCTGGGTTGTGCTGGGGGGCCTTTGAGCGGCATTCTACAGCTCGATGCCCTTCTCTTCCGCACTTGAAACACCCCATTTGCTTCTTGGCTGTATCCGATGATTTCACCGGTTGGTGTGTCAGCTCAGGCGGGGGGCGGCTCCATTGTTTTCCTCGGCGGTGCCTCTTCAATATGTCGATCTCTGCTTCCTCTGCCAAGACGTACCATTCCTCAAGTCGATGTGGGTCCCCTCAGGGCAGGCAAGCATCATATAGATCATAGTTTAGTCCATCTTTGAAATGGCCAAGGAGGATGTCTTCTGGCCAATTCAGTTTGCTGGCAATGGCCCGGAATTCTTGTGTATATTCAGCCACCGGGCGTTTGCCTTGCCTCATCATTTTTATCCTTTCACGGGCTTTGCAATCAGCCAGGGGGTCTTCAAATCGTCTTCTCAAAGAGGACATGAAACGGTTGAAGTTACTGAGTTCTGGGGCATTGGAGTCATGCAAGTTCACCACCCAATCTGCAGCCGGTCCATCCAGGGCGGATTGCACGATCTGGATGCGGGCTTTGTCGCTGGGAATGTCCTGCCCGTATTCCTCCATGTAGCTGAGGACTTGGGTTAGGAAAAACCCCAAGCGAACCAACGATCCCTTCGCTGAAAGAATGGATGGAGAAACTACAAAACACCTGGCCAATAGTCAGAAAAGCACTAGATGAAGCTAGGCAGGCATACAAAACACAAGCCGATAAAAAAAGGGTTGAGCCTACACCATTCATTATAGGAGAAATGGTGTACTTATCTACAAAATACCTAAAGTCCCTACAGCCCTGTAAAAAACTTGGACCAAAATATATAGGACCTTTTCCAATTAAAAGAATCATAAATCCAGTAACAGTAGAATTAGAATTACCCAAAAATCTCAGGCAAATACACCCAATTTTTCATTGCAGCTTGCTGAAAAGAGAGCATCAGTCACCTCTACGGCCAAAAATCCCCCCACCACCACCTCCACTCATGGTGGAGGGTGAACAACACTTCGAAATAAAGGAAATCCTTGATTCTAGGAGATATCATGGAGCAACTCAGTACCTAGTTGCCTGGAAACACCTCCCTCCCTCACAAAACGAGTGGGTCCATAAACGTCATGTCAGAGCCCCGAAGCTATTGAAGAAGTTTCACACAGAGTATCCTAACAAGCCTGACTAAATTTTATACTTGTGTTTTCTTTCAGGTGGATCTCTCTTATTTTTAAGAGGGGCCGGATGTCAGAATCCAATTATATTTCATCTTTAATTATCAAATATAGAAACTCCCAATTCTGCCTTCTCTGGATTCTGCCATAAGAGGGAGAGAAGGGGGAGAACAAAGGGGCTTTATGGCCCTCACTTCCTTCAGTATACTTCAAGGAGCTGAATGCTGAATGTGTGTTTATTGTAACCTCAAAGCGTTAGCACCAAAGGACCTTACCATAACAAAGAAGGGTATTTGCCTTTCATGTAGTTATCTGAAGTCTCCATCCAGACGGAAGAAAGAAAAAAGGGGGTGGAATTGTGATACCTGAAACTATCACTGGAAGGGGGGTTGATTGGGTGGGACTACTGGGGAACCCCTTAAAACCTTGAATGGGAGGGCTTGGACCCCAAGTCCTGTCTAGCACGCCTGCAACCACTTCTTCTTAATAAAGGATTCCTGTTGGAAGAATTATTCCAAGAGTTCTGTCTTCTTAAGATGCAAAGTGGGGTGGGTCCTTACACTCACTGTTTCTCTCAGGCCATGTGGGGGGGCTGGATGGTGGTGTGGGCTGCCCTGAGCCCTGGGCAGCAGAGGTCAAACGCCCAGCCTGGCCCTCGAGCACCCAAGCCCAGTCCCGATTCCCCAAGGGGGCACCCAGCTGCACTTAAGGCTGCTGCTGCTGTGCTTGCTCTCCTTAGCCAGGTTGCTCATGATGGGTATGAGGGCAAAGTCAGAGGGAGGCCCATTCCCTCTCCATGGGAGGAGACCTGCTTTGTATCCAAAGCTTCCTTAGCAATAGGATGGAGATCCCCAGGATAGGCCAGGAGGAGGGGGCAAGGGGAAGGTGAAAGGGCAGCAGGGCAGGACTAAGGCAGGACTTTCCTCAGACCCTCCCTCTCCTTCTTTCCTTCTTTCTTTCCTTCCTTCCTAAGTGGTGGGAAAATATTTGAGATGAGGGAAAGAGAAAAACAGGCAAGAAACACAGCTGAGGAGGTGTCACCCTTTGTGAGGAATGAAGAAATGCACCATTGCCTGGAAGTGGCCATCACAATTATCTTGACCGTTCCCTTTTCAATAAAATTATAGGGATAGTTTCTGCTAACTTTAAATATATGTGGGTTGTGCAGTTATTTTCATTACTGAATACTGAAATGGTATTCATCAATTTGTGATTAATGAATGTCACCTTGGGATTTTGTTCCCAAGATATTCCCCTCTTCTATTATTGATATAAAGGTAAAAGTAAAGCTTTCCCCCTTCCAGTCATTTCTGACTCTAAGGGGTAGCGCTCATCTCTGTTTCTTGGCCGAAGGAGCCAGTGTTGTCTAAAGACATTTCCATGGTCATGTCTATATGCTGAGGCACACAGAATGTTGTTACCTTTTCACCAAAGTTGTACATATTTTTCTATTCACATTTGCATGTTTTCAAATTGCTAGCTTGGCAGGAACTCACCCCATCATGCAGCACTCAAGTCTTGAACCGAGGCTGTCAGTTTTCCAGCTGACAAGCTCAGCATCTTTACCATTGAACCACCACACCCCTTAGTATTGATATATGAAAATACATTTCAGAAAATCAGTCAGAATTCAAATTATTTTTCATTCAGAAAATATGTTTGAAAAATATAAAAATGTAAAATGACATTAATCACCCTTCTATAATTGTAATCAACTTTTTATAACCTAGGAATATTCAAAAAGGATGCTGAAAATAATTCCTAGGAGGGAATCTATTTTGGATCAGGATTCTGAGTTCATAAACAAGGTTGTAAAACTATTTTCTGTCACTATTGAGAGCTTACAGTATGAAATATATAACATAAAAGCAGCAAAATAAAACATTTTGGCTCTTTAATTATAGCCTCTAGGGAGTGCATGCAGAAAAAAGGGAGAGAGATGGAGAGATTAAAGGAATGGAAACAGAATCATCAATGAAATCGCTGCATTAAACCCTCAGTCTAGGATGGGAGGGGTGCAGAAAATTCCCCCATCAATGTAATCAACATTTCTGTCCTCTGCAATGATCCCCATTATATGCTTCCTTTTCGTGCTTATTTCAGCACCATAGAAGCGAGGAGGGGGAAAGAGACAGAGACAGCGCTAGCGAGAAGCTAGCGTACAAAGCGTCAGCATAACTGCTCCGACAGAGAGAGGCAAAGAAGGGGGAAAGTTGAAGTGCGATGAGCAACGCCAGGCTCTCATCTCCCTCCCTATTTTTCCAAGCTGGCACTGTGTTTAGAGAGGGCGCTCATCATGCAGTGTTTAGCAGCAGGGGCTGATAGAACTGCAAAGTCGCAGGAAAGGTGCTCTGAAGAATCTGCTTTCCAAGTCCAAGGAAGACTGGATCTGGACAGCTGGCATCGGAGCAATTAGTCTCTCTCTGTTTATCTGTCTGTCTCTCTGTTTATCTGTCTGTCTCTCTTTTCCTCTGAAGCTGGCCTTCCACTTTTCAGATTTTCCAGGAGAACATTGGCAGTGTTACAATTGGGACTCAGGTGTCCAATCCCATTGTAAAATTTCTTTGTGCTTCCTTTTCTTGTGGGATTGTGTGGCTCTCTTGCATTATCCTGATGTGATTTTCTTACACCCACCCCTTTTTGTTTTGGAATCATGGGCATCTTTTGGGCTTATATTGGATTCCATTTCTTCGTAGTATTTTACATACAGCAAGGACTTTCTTCTCAAGGTAAGAGCCACCATTTGTCAAAATTGGAATAGAGGAAATCTGGTAGACAGAAAAAGAACATGGGGGGGGTATTGAAATAAGCGCTCCTTGTATTTCCCTTTTTAAATCTTATGTTCATCAAAAGTGAGTACAATATAAATATGTGCATTCAGTTTCCAGACACAAATGTAGCATAAAAATCTTATAGATGAGGATGAAGGTTCATTAATTATAGATTCATCCTACACCCGAGCTACAGATATTCACCACTATTGCAATCTTATAGATATATTGCTGTTTATATCTGAGCAGTGCTTTCATTTAAAAAGAGGTTGTTGATTTTTTTAAACATAGAGGTTATATATGTAATTTTCCAAACCTTTTCAGAATTCAGAATCATGGAGTGTGTGGAAAAGAAAATTTGTTTTTCTGCTTTAAATAGTACACTTTTTAAAGAATGTCACTCTCTCCTCTCTCCCCTCCCTCTCTTCTGTTTTCCCCTATAATCATATGTTCATGTTCTCAAACCTTGGTTTCTGTCTGTATTTCTGCAAAGACTACTCCGTTTGCTGGCCCCAAATGCCCTGACAAAGGCACCATCTACATTACAAGTAGCGCCTGCTCTACAGAATCCATCCAGTTGTTTGAGACTTTAAAGGCTGCAGTGTATATTTCAGCACCATGGAGAGAAATCGTATCAGGAGTCTCCTCCAAATACTGTACAGTCAACCAGAAATGCCATTAGCAATTTTTGGCTCATTTATTTGTTTAACTTTAGGCATTGATGGGGCCGGAGTGAGGGAATAATAGTCAGCAGGAATATGATTACTTTTTCTTTTTTACTAGCAATGAGTTTCTATACTAGCAAATGATTGGGAGGGGGATAGTGTGGGAGACTTTCTTTTCAAAGAAAACACACACAGAGAGAGATCCCTGAAAAAGATACCTGTGGCTGTTCGCAATCTTAAAAAGTGAAGAGCAATCAAGGATTTTCTTCAATAACACAGCAATGAGCCACAGGATATAATCAAGCACATATATGTGTGATATTATGAAAGACTTTTCAGCATGTCCACTGTGACTCTGTAATATCACAGAACTGAAGTGGTCAAACTGGTGCTTACTGTCTGAAAACTGAAAGCAAGATGTGGTGGCTTAATTGAGCAGATTACTTTCCCAATGTTCCTGTAGGGATATAAAGGGCATATGCCAATTTTTCTCTCAAATATGTACTAAGAAATATGTTCTTTATTTTGTGTTTTTCAAAGAGATAGCTGGGACTGAACTAATAAAGCAAAGTATTTTGAGTGTTTGAATCTTCTGAACTAAAATATTATCTACTTTTTATTTAGTGTGGTATTTCAAATAAAATTAATAATGACATTAAGTAGGATCTAACCACAGGAAGCTTTATAAGAAATGCCACAACAAACTTTTCAAATCTTGTTTTTAAAAATAGAAAAAAAGCATACTATTTTGATAATTACTTAATACCTAATAGGTAAATATATAAACAAGAAACATTTGGATTGTTTGATATATTTCACTAATCCCTAAGGAAAATTATTGAAATACTGCCTTCCATACAATATTTACACTTCATTATACATGATTGTGCAAATATTTCTATAGTTAGTTTTTCCATTTACTCATGGACAGAAGTGGTTCTTAGACAAATATGGAAGAAAAGTAAAAGTGATTATTAATACTTCAAAGGAGGACATAGAACAGAAAATACATGAACATTAGTACAAGAAAAAGAAAGAAAATGGGGAAAGAGAGCACTGCAATCCTAAGTGTGCTTAGCTGGGTTTAAATCTTATTCAATCAACTAATCAGGTACATGCAATATGATCTGGTGAATGCAGTGCAATTTATTCCCATGTGCATCTGTATAAGATCATATTCCAAAGAAAGGAAATCAAGGAAATGAATAGAGGGGGGTAAGTAAAGACAGAAAAAGAGAAAAAGAATCCTAATGAGATCTGCTTTTCTTTTCCAGCCAAATTTACTGAATTCCCTCAGAATATCACAGTTACTGAGGGGCAGAATGTGGAGATGTCTTGTGCATTCCAGAGTGGCTCTGCCTCAGTGTACCTGGAAATCCAGTGGTGGTTTCTGAGGGCAACTGAGGACCAAGAAGCTGGAGCTGAGTTGACGGACACTCAGGTACCAGCTCACATCCTAAGCACTCCATAAGCCGCTAGAAAATAGAGATTCAGGGAACAGATCTGGTTTTCCCTGAAAATCCAATATACTCACTTACCAGGATAAGTTTTTTTTAAAAAAATCACTGAGTAAGAAATGCCAAGGTATAGAACCCTGGCTTTTTATTTCATTGCTAACAGGTTTTGAAAGATCTGTTATTCTTAGGCATGAGTAAAAGATACATACTCTTAAAGAGTGTAAATTTGATCAATGCAAAGCATATAATTTTATAAAGAACTTATTAGATTTCATGTGAGCTTTATTCCTTATGTTGAGACAGAATGGAAAATACATGTTTGCATCTTTCAGATTCTGTCTATTCATGTCTGCAATGTCTTTGTTATATCCAGACAGTTTCAGAATTCATTAATATTATTGAAAGCAAGAGATATCTAAACAAATTATTTAGCTAACTATAGCAATGAGGAATGGCTTTTGCTATCAGTAGTGAGTTGAACATGATTTTCTTCCTCAAAAAAACCCCATGATTTTTAGATAAATTCTACTAATATTCAAAGGAGGACATAGAACAGAAGTTTTCATGGGTTAGTGAAGTGAAACATCTTCAAGGAAAAACAAAGAAAGTCTAGTTGCCTTTTGAAAAAACATCTTTGAGACAACCATGATCTGGATGACTGAGAATTGCCACAGACATTTAACTATTTGTTACTATCCTCTTAAATTAAAATTTTAGTCTAGAATTAATGATGGTCAGTCCATCAAAGCATGTTCTATATTATTCCATAACATTCATTTTATATACAGGATATTATCTGGACTTTTAAAATATTCCTGTGGATTCCAGATTAGATCCAGAGTATATTAGATCCTTTCAAGCTATTTCCAGACCAATCTGTTCAGCCTCAGGATTCAAGATTTTTTTTATTTTAAGTGGTAATGGTGGTAATGGTGGGGAATAGATTGAAATTGTGAATTTGTTTTATATTGTGATAAACTGAAATAAACTCTATATTGAATACTTACTATTACTTATTTATTAATCAGCAATGTGGAGAATCAGTTCTGTATCTCATGTGCTCACTGATAAATTCACAATGCAATAAACTTATTTTCTCTTCTCTCTGAATTGTTGATAAAAAATACCTCCAGTGGAGGTAAACATGTCAGCTCACAGCATGTGCCTGATTATTACAGGAAGTGCTTGGCTCCAGCCAGATCATTCTTTGGATCTATCTCCCGAGAGACAAATCTTTGTCATGTATTCAGAGTTTCTGTTTTGCTTTGTTTTATTACCTAATCTGGAAATCTAGTTTTAAAAATGTTGGTTAACTAAACTGGTTACAATATTAGCTCTGAAAAGAAAAAAAATGGAAGAACCTTCATGAGGATATAAATTAAGCTATTGCAGGATGAAAGCCTCTTCAATGAAACTTATGGACCATGATGTCTTGTGGTGATCCAGTGTGGCTTAATTAACCAGTGTTGTTATTTTAAGAGAATATGGATTTGAATTACTTCTGTTAGACCAGGCATGTCAAACTGCCAGCCTGTGGGCCGGATGCATCATACTGAAACCACGCTCACCCCATTGCCGGCAATGGGGGAAAAGTCGCAATACATTGCGCGACATCACATGGCATCGCGAGTTTGACATGCCTGGGTTAGGCCCTGGGATGAGGTAAGGACATTCTTTGAAGCAACATTATTCATATGAGTTGATACTTTCATGTCCATAGTAGTCAACCAGATGGCTCTGGGGTGAAAGACACTTTTCTGTTATTTGTCAATTGCCATCAGACTTTTAATAGTAGATTACCTCTACTTTGCTGTAACTACTAAAGAGACCCCTAACTATGAATTTGGCAAACACATACTTAACAATGCTTAAGGTAAGACATTGTGTCTGATCTATTTCCTGCACCTGCTTTGCCTACTTATTGCATAATGTGATAATGGTATCGCATTATGCAACAAGTAGGCAAAGCAGGTGCAGGAAATAGGTCAGACACATATATGTTATATGAACCACAGCAAATTCTCATAATGATCTCATATGTATACTTATTGATCCATATGTCTAATTATATAAGCAATGACTCAATCTTGCAATAAGTACAGATCAGCAGCATTCTAGCACATTTGAAAGCCTGTAAATATCTCAATTGTTAGAGATTCTTGCTTTACAATCTTATTGTAGATTGCAAATTGGAGTGATATGAAATGAGAAGTGATGGAATTTCATTTTTACATAAGAAACGTCTTGCCTTCAGTATGTAAAAACAGTTATTCATTCCTCAACAGGTGGAATTATCACCAGAGAAAGACTTGGACAATGATGGAACAAAGATAAGTGTAAGTCTATGATGAAATATAGAATATTTTATTTTATTTTAAAGGACTTCCCACTTGCTTTGTTCTCTTTAATTATCAACAATACCAAAACCCACCAGCCTTGGGCTGATAAATGCCATTTCCCATGCCTTTCCATATCTTTCCCATGCCTTTGGGATAAAAAACATAGAAGCTATAGATAAATAAAATGCATTTTCTGAAAAAAGACAATATGTCTCATAACTATCTTCTTCAGGAATTAACACCTTCATGTGGACATATTGGCAATAAAATTGTTACTGCTATCTTCCTAAATGGAAATTTTGAAGGTGCCTTCTTAGCTGTAGCATCTAAAGAAATGCCAAGGAATACACCAGCAGTTTCCATAAGAAACTGATCAAAGTATCTCAAGGAATTCTACATATTTCTGGATCCATAGGCAACACTGATGCAGTTTCTTAGTCAATCTATGTTGAGCATGTTTTTATCAAACCCTGAAGATTTTCCTGACTGGTAAAGGAGTACTCCACCATTATATTGCTTATATGTCTCTAGGTTTTGCAACAGGTTCACGTATTTGAAGTAAATTATTTGTATTGTATGACATGCCAGTAACAGAGCTGTTTTCAGACCCTGTTTTTGAGGTGTTCTTTCTATTTAATTTAATTTAATTTTTTGATGAGAAGGAATTAATTCTGTGAGCATTCATTTGAAAGATGTTTGGGAGAATATATAAATGCCACATGGGCTATTGGTTTCATCTCTGGGCTTGGTAATTAGGTTGCATAAATGCTACATAAATATCCAAGTGACAACAAAATAATATTTTACAGTCTTTTCAGAGTTAGGTAGCCTCTAAATCTCATAAGTAAGTAATTAAGTAAAGTAAATAACTAAGTAAATGTCTATTGATACCATGGACAATATTCTTAGAATAATATTTTTAAGTCAAGCTAAAACAATTTTAATAACATGGGTTAATATTTCTCAAGAAGATCATATATTTTTTGTTGGGAAACATAGCCTTCAAGAATTGCAATAAACAAACAAGATTGCTATAGTAGAAGAAATATTTATCTCAGGGGGCATAGGGCAGGATCAAATGAAGGGCAGGGTATGCTACGGGAGCCAGATAGCAGGCTATTACAGGGGAAGATGCCCCCCCAATATTTAATATCAGTGGTATGTTCCCTGAACTCATCCCTATTCCCTGGACAGCACACATACCCCAGAAACCTTGGGGTCCAGCTATTACTGCTGAATGCCAGGTTGTTCAATAATAAAGCTGCTTTTGTTCAAGATCTTATTAAAGAGGAGTAAGCCGACCTGCCATGCATTGCTGAAACCTGGCTGATCCTGGAAGATGGTTTGCCCTGTTGGAAATGTGTTCAGGTTTGACAACAGGGAAGTCCCCAAGACAGAGGAGATTGGGTGGCAGTAGTTATCACAGAGTCTTTTTTTGTTGTTGTGTTGACTTTCCAGGGCCTTTCTCCACAAATCTCTGGTTGTAAGATTCTGTTCCTGAAGTTGGGCTCACAGAATCAGATGGGATTGTTGCTAGTATACCAGCCTCTCTGCTGTGCAGCAACCTTTCTGCTTGAGCTGCTAGGACTTGTGGTGGAGTTCTCTAGTCTTAAGGTTCTGGGGGACTTCAATCTGCATTGAAGAAGCCCAGGAATTCATGGCAGCCATGGGCCTATCTCAGATTATAACTGGCCCGACTCAGGATAGTGGTCAATGGATCAGTGGACTTGATCTTTTTGCTGGAACAAAGGCAATGTGACCTGGTGGAGGATGTAAGATTATTTCCCCTTGTCATGGTGTCCTTGAGACTCTAGTATTGTGCCCCCCTTCCACAGGAAGACTGGACCCACTTGGATGATTCACCCCTAGTGACTGATGGACACTGATGGGTTCCAGAGGGAGCTGGAGAATATCATAGAGGTGTTGCTGCATGGTCCTGTTGAAGCTCTGTTGGCAACCTGGAATTTAAGGGCTGCCATTGCTTTGGACAAGATTGTGCCCATGCAGCCTCTCTTGACTCATCAATCCAGATGCTCTTCATGGTTTACAGAGAAACTACATGTTCTGAAAAGGGCCAAAAGATGCCTAGAGTGCCACTTGAGGAAGATAATGGATGACTCCAACAGGACACCACTTAGAGCAGCTATTAAGGGCTACCTCGTGGCAGTAAGAATGGTGAAACAGCAGTATTTCCCTGCTCTTATTGCATCCTCAGAATGCTGTCCAGAAGCCCTGTTTTGGGTTGCCCATTCCCTACTAGATCAGAGGCGCTTGGATGATATTTTGCAGAGTCAGGCAGAGAGGTTTGTCCAGCAGCTGATAGACAAAGTTGCTCAGATCCAGACTAAAAAAATCACAGGAAGATCAGAACAACATATTATTGAGATAGGATATGATAACCGAGTCTATGACTGTGCAATATCTCCCCTCCTCTTTATAGTCTAGTGAATCTGAGAGGTATTTGCCCTGTTTCTGAATATTATCATATTTGCCAAGACTTAAAGAATGTTTCAGTACCTAGGTAATGATAGTTGTATATTTCTGTCAAGATCACCCTCCTTACTTCTTTATTTCTTCAGGAATCAACAACATTGGATAATTTCTGGTCAATTCAATTTACTGGCTATAAGGATCAAACTTCTGGCAATGGGCAGAATTAGCCTGCAATACTGCATTCTAACCATTGTGCCACCATAGCTCTGCCATCATTGCTCCACACAGCACAGAGTATGGTTGCATTTGTCTCCAATTACTTTTACCCATCCAATAAGATCTGTCAGAGAAACCATGTACTAGTTTCCATTACTTAAATAGGGTTAATTGCCACCCACCCTGAGGAACAAGATTCAGATAGTCCTGATACTATCTTTGAAGATTCTTCAGATCTTGCTTTTCCCCTAAGTACAGAACCAGGTGTCAGGTTTGCCATTTTCAACATACTCCGCTTCACTGGCATCCTGATGTAAAATGCACCGGGGAGAGATTGGGGAAGTAGAGAGTAGGACTGGGGACGCAAGGGGGGGGGGGTGACAGGATGACAGGAACTAGAGGTGTCAATCTGGAACAAACCAGTTGATCAATGACAGAGCCATGAGAACAGAATGCAAAACCCCACAAAGAGGTGCCAAACTTCAAAGCCATTTCCAAAATGTCTAGTATGAATATCATTGGACACTGATGGAGTAATTAAAGAGGGGAGGGCAAGGGAATGGGGGAAATCATGGAATATTTAGATCCAGCTTTGCTTGTGGTGTAACCACTTGATTTATCAAAAGGAACCTTTTACTCCAAAACTGAGTTGAGGGTCTTTCTTTCCTAAATGCTCAGGCTGGGACAAGCCTGACACCAGGACAATTTGTGTTTTATTATTATTATGGATCATCACACAGTAAGCCAGATATTCAGAGTGGATTTGGCATTTTTATTCATTTATTGAGCTCCTTCCAAGGATTCATGATAGGCAGATGTGGATGTTTGATAGTGTTAAAAGTATTGTTACAGAAAGTAAGCTGTTCTGAGCAAAGCTGCCTTTTACAATTAATTGATTGACGGTGATAGCAATAGCATTTATATATCACTTCACAGTGCTTTACTGTCCCTTCTCTAAGTGATTTACAGAATCAGCATATTGTCCCCAACAATCTGGGTCATCATTTTACTGATCTCGGAAGAATTAGAAGGCTGAGTCAACCTTGAGCTGGTAAGATTTGAACTGCTGAACTGCTAGCAATCAGCAGTTAGCAGAATTAGCCTGCAATACTGCTTTCTAACCACTGCACAACCATGGCTTTCTGACCACCACCATGATGATCAAGTGGTACTCCCATTGTTCTGAGATTGCTCCCAAGTTGCCTATGAATATTGGTACTAATTTTCCTTTCTTTTGCCACAGTCATTCTATTTCTATTTGCAGGTCTTTGTATACTGTTATTTTCTCTGGTTCTTTCTCTTCTAGTCTGCTATCTCCAAGTACTGACATGTTCATTATCCAGATGTTTGTTTTTCTTACCAACAATTGTTAAGTCTGGGGTGTTATGTGGTAGGTGCCTGAAGTCCCAGAGTATTTTAACTCATGTTCTATTACTTGCTCTATTTTATGGTCCCACCAGTTCTTGCTTGCAGATAAATGATATTTCTTGTAGATCTTCCAATACACTGTTGTTGCTACTTTGTCATGCCATTGTTTATAGTCAATCTGTGTGGTCTTCTTGCAACAGCTAACTAGCTAATCTGCTGTTTCTTCAACTTCTTTGAAGAGGTGACACTTGCTGTCTGTTGCTGTCTTCTCAGTTCTGGCTTTGGATGTATTTGTTCTTAAGGCTTGGTCTTGTGAAGTCATAATAAACCCCTCAATCTCACTCCTCAACTTTTCTGCTCTTAGTCATTGCCAGGTCTTATTATTATCTTGCCTGCTATTTTTTTAACGTATTGGTCATGTAATGCTTTGCCTTCCCATGCCTCTTTTCTGTTCCTTATTTGGTCTTTCTTGTAGGCCAGTTTGTTCTCTCCAGTACTCGGTAAGTCTTCTTGGTACATTAACTTCAATACATCTTCTTCACTATCCTTCAGATATTCTTCTAATGCCCTTTTCTTCTTCAACTGTTTGATGTACTTGCAATATTCCATGCTCACCCATTTTCCTTGGTAAGTAGAGTCTGTCAACATTGTTTCAAGGATGAAGGGCATGATTCATTGTCATCATTTTTCTAGTCTTCCTATCCACAGCTTTTACTACCACTTAAATCCAGTCCACTATTCCAGCTGTGTATCTAATGACTAGAGTTGTCCAGGTGTTAATTGTTTTGATGATAATTCCTCTACTGAATTTGGACTTTAAGATCTTCATTCTCTTGATGTATTCACTTCTAATCTTTTTCTTGACTTCAGTGTGCTTGATGTTGTCAGCTCAAAGGATGCCCAGTATTTATAGTGATCGTCTTCATACAGACTTTTGATGTTATTTCCATAGGGCATCTTGATTCATTCAGTTTGCACTATTTTTCCCCATTTGATGATGTACAGTATATTTGTCCAGTTCAAATTCCATTGCAATATCTTGTCTGTATATGAGGACAGCAGTGAGCAATGATTCTATTTCAGATGGTGTTTTTCCATATACTTCAAATCATTCATATAAAGGAGATGGGATAGTCTGGCAGATGTTTTTAATGTTAAACAGTCGTGGCTTATGTTATTCAGTATTGTTGAGAGAGGAATCAGTGCAATGATGAACAGTGGTGGTGAAAGTAAGTCTCCTTGGAAGATTCCTCTCTCGATATTAACCTCTCCCAATCTAGCAACCATCTTTGAACAAAGTTTCTGATGTTTCTGCTGATTCCTATTATTCCTAGGCACTTGATTATCCAATCATGTAGCAGAGAGTCAAGTGTCTTTTTGCAGACAATCTATACTACATTCAAGTTGGTCTTCCTTCCCTTGCAATTTATCCAAAATATCTTGTCAATTGGAAGTTGTTGTTGTTTTTTTCTGATATTTGGGTGATTTCCCTTCTGTTCTGGTGGAAAGAGTTTGTTTTCAAACTGTTGCTGTTGGACTGTATTGGCTAGAACACCAATTAGCAATTTGAAAATTGTAGATAAGTAGGTAATTGTCTTGCAGTTGTCTAGCACTGCCCCTGGATCTTTCATTATCCTGTAGTTTTGCCAGATGTTAGCCAAGCTTCAATTTCACCTCTTTGCAGTATATTGTTAAACTGCCTGGCAACAGATGGGTGTAATCAGATGTTTCAACCAAAATCCATGCAATTCATTTTTACCTGGTGCTGACCAATTCTTGATCATGATGTAATTCCAAATACTTATATGCAATCAGACTTGCTCTTCATTTTTCTTGGATAATAATTGTTAGAAGTAAGGTCTTCATCCTGGTTCATCCAAGCCGGGAATAAATAAGCAAACATGGCGACTGCTTTGGGAAGAAGGTTACAGTTTATTGCAGAAAGATGGTTCTTCAGGAAAGTGCAGAGGAGAGAAGGAGAAGAGGCAGAGAAGAAGAGAGAGATTGAGCACATGGGCAGTAGGTTTTTATATCCCCTCTAGCCTTGTTTGGAATAGTTTCCTGTTCCTGTGGCATGAACCTTGAGGCTGTTTCTGAGTGTTTGTCTAGGCCTTGATATCTGTGGTTTAATTCTATTATCATATCCTGCTTCCCAGGTGGTGGGGCTGACTCCTAGAGTTTGGGTGGGGTATACAGATCTTCTCTTTTGTCTTTTTGATTGCTCTGGCTTCAACTTTCTGATGGTTTTACATCTGCATTTGTATAGGGTTAAAGTCTTGCTTGGGGCAGAGAGATAGATTTGGGGCCAGGTTTGGTTTTAAAAAGTCCTTTTGAGGAAAAATATATTTTTCTGCCCTTTTTAATATTTCTTCTCTGGGCTAACTTTCATCATGTTGCAGGAATCTCTTCTGGCAGGTTAGCTCCCAGATTCACCCCCTTCATTTCTCTGTCATTGTACTACCACTGTTATTCTGCTTGTGCAATTCTCTATTTATTACCTCTGATATATCTTCTTCCACTCCTCCCTTTCTTATGCATAGTGGATTCTTAGTGGGAAATGAGTTTTATTGAACATAAAAGGAAAAGTGGTAAAAAAACAAAATGATCCCCAATAGAGATATTTATTTGACTGTAATCCAATCTGTGTTTAAGTATTACTGAAATTATTCTTAACCAGGTTAACAGCACCAAAATGATCTTATTTTCCTTTAATAAACAGGCCCTCTTTTATAAGATTTTTCTCAATTTTTCTTCTGGAACACATAATCAAAATCAGAATCACATCATTTCTGAAGGCTATTTAGTAACCCTTAATTCTTAGAGAAAATGTGTGGAAGACAAATTTGACCTCAGCAACATCTACTATTCTTCCCCAAGTTCATCACTTCTCAATTTTTCAAGAGTAGAACTGAAAGAGACTGTTCAGCTAACATTGATCTTATTGTGATCCAGCAGTAAAATGGAATTCTAATCTTCCTCAGTTCAATTTCTTCAATTTAAAGAAAAATAACACAATACAACATAGTATATTACCATTCTGTATTTTTGTAATTTAAGTTCAGGAGAGATGAATATTGTGAGAAATAAAGCTTCACACAGGCAGGTTGAGAAAGTGGATTGCAATGAGATAATGGGTGTTTGGGCAAGTATGTACCATGTTTCCCCGAAAATAAGACCTGGTCTTATTTTTCTTGTCTCCAAAAGAGGCACCAGGTCTTATTTTTGGAGGGTGTCTTTTCCACTCACTTCACCATGGTGGCACAGACAGCCCCACCTAGCCAACCATTTCTTCTGCGGCTGAAGGCCTTTCCTGAAGGCCTTTCCTGAAGGCCTGTGCAGCCGAGAACTGAGCTACGGATTAAATCCATAGCTCAGTTCTTGGCTGCAGAAGCCTTCCACAAAGGCCTCTGACTGCAACATGCAGGCCCAAGCTCCATTCTCAGCTGCAGAATGAAGCTGCTCCTTCAGCTGCAGAAGAAGTGGGCCAGTGAAGCAAGGGTGGATCCATGGGAGATCTCGCTGCAATGGTAAATTCCACCCTGCCCTAGCTTGACTTTTAGGCATGTGCCCTGCCCCAAAGCTAGGGATTATTTTGGGGGTATGGCTTACTTTCAGGAAAACACATTATATACCCCAATTACATTCCAGTAAGGGTAGATCAATGAAACCTCATTTATTATCTCAGAGTTCTTGGTAATAAAATAGAAGTGAGTGGCATAGACTCTATATTCAACAAATTGCAAAAATAAAAGCCAGAAAAGAAATGGCATAATGTAAAAAATATATCACAAAATTAATGAGATTTAGTTTTCAATAAAAAGGCAGTGGCTGGACACTAGCTTCCCTTGCAATCAGTGTGAGCTGATAATTGAATAATCTTAGTAATTTAAGTAAGCTCAAAGTTTAAAAGGGTATTAAAACCCCATTAATTGTAACAAATATTGTGTGTAGTTAGTAAAAGTCAGAATTTAGGGAAAAAAAAGTCAGAATCTGCAGTAGCCCACAAAATTACATATATTATTGATTTCTTCAATATATTCACCAGCAGTTTTTACCAATTGTGTGTGATTGGTCTAAGTCTGTAGCCAGGGTTAGCTATTGAGGAATTTCCGTGGTGGTGCTGGACCCAGTCTGCATTCTGCTTAAAACCTTAGCTCCTATTCTAATTATGCTTAATCCTGACAAAGTGCCTCCAATGCACTTTTCTTGCCTTTTGTGAGCATAATTTTCTTCAAAAACTCTCCAGATGACCTAGATAAGTCACCCTCTTTTAGAACCCTTCTGCTCTGCCCCTACAATGCAGGGATAACAGTGCTGCCATAGCTGTATGGCAAAAGTCATATATCAATTTTGTATTATGATACTGACAGAATGTTCATTTATTTGCTCTGAAATTATTTTTAATATAAATCCAGCTGTTTGGTGGAACCATCCTTAAGGCATTTTACAACAGGTGGCAAACAACAGAGTATCATAAACACACATGGAAACACAACAACCCAGATCTGCAATAACCTAGCAACAATTAGTTAGAAAACGAGGCTTCCCCCCCCCCCCCCCCGGTTCTAGTTGACTTGGGACACTGTCAGCTGTGTATAAATGCATGAAAGGAAGACATGGAGGAGTATCTATTAATAGCAATAACATTTAAAGATGTTTCTGGAATTTTTACAGACAGTGAAAGTACAGGGGAATGATATTTCCCACAAGCTGCAGATCTCCAAAGTCAGGAGAAAGGATGAAGGACTGTATGAGTGCAAAGTGACAGATGCCAATTACAGACACTTTCAAGAATACAAAGCCCAAGCTTATCTCAAAGTCAATGCAAATAGCCACTCTCGAAGAATGCAGGCTTTTGAAGTTTCCCCAATGTGGCTGCAGGATAAACCTCGCAAGAACATCTCAGCTGCCTTTTCTAACAGCATCCATAATTCTGCCAGTCAACGTCCCATTTCTAATCCTACAGCAAATGCCAAAATCACCAAGCAAAGCCCACAATCAGGTATGAACAAACATTTGAAAATTTTAAGCATATGACTAGAATGTAATTGAAACTCAAAGCAATGCTATTCTCAGAGAAAAATGATTATTTTATATCCTGCATAGAAAACATTTTATACAAAAATCTTGATATGCTTAATCCTTATGACTATGCAAAACAAAAGTAAAAGCCCCATTTGGCATAATAAAATCACATAATATTATTTATTTATTTATTTATTAATAAAATTTATATGCCGCCCAATCCCTAGGGACTCAGGGCGGCGTACAAAATTAAAACAACAAATATAACAATTAAAAATGAATACATTCACACAGCATGTCCCAATCGAATCCTGGCCACCCCAGGGACATCAACCCCAGGCCTGCCAGAACAGGAGAGTTTTAATAGCTTTCTTGAAGGCCAGCAAGGTGGGAGTAGTTCGAATCTCAGGGGGAAGTTGATTCCACCACGTCGGAGCCACCACAGAAAAGGCCCTTCCCCGAGGGCCCGCCAGCCGACATTGTCTGGCCGACGGGACCTGAAGGAGGCCCAATCTCTGGGACCTCACCGGTCTCTGGGAACTATGCGGCAGTATGCGGTCCTGTAACTAACCTGGTCCTAAGCCATGAAGGGCTTTAAAGGTGACAACCAACACCTTGAATTGCATCCGGAGACCCACAGGAAGCCAGTGCAGCTCGCAGAGGATAGGTGACACGTGGGTGTACCTTGGTGTACCCACAATCGCTCTCGCGACTGCATTTTGAACCAACTGCAGCCTCCGAACGCTCTTCAAGGGTAGCCCCATGTAGAGCGCATTACAGTAGTCCAGTTTTGAGGTGACAAGGGCATGAGTAACTGTGAGTAGAGCCTCCCGGTCCAAATAAGGCCACAACTGGTACACCAGGCGAACCTGGGCAAAGGTTGTTCCACATTTAGCTGTGAGTCCAGGAGGACACCCAAGTTGCATGCCTGCACTGAGGGAGGTAAATTTCCCCCCCCCAGGACTAATGATGGACCATCAGAATGACCCTTGGGGGGCAGGACCCAGAGTCACTCGGTCTTGTCAGGGTTGAGTCTAAGCCTGTTCATCCCCATCCAGACCCTCACATCTTCCAGGCACCGGCACATCACGTCAACTGCTTCACTGAAAGGACACGCGGTGGAGATATACAATTGGGTATCATCCGCATACTGATGATACCTCACCCCGTGTCGCCGAATGATCTCACCCAACGGTTTCATGTAGATGTTAAAAAGGAGGGGGGACAGGACCGAGCCCTGAGGCACCCCATAATCGAGGCACCTAGGGGTCGATCTCTGTCCACCCGCCAACACCGACTGTGACCTGTCAGAGAGGTAGGAGGAGAACCACCGCAATACGGTGCCACCCACCCCCACCTCCCCAAGACGATGCAGAAGGATACATGGTCGATTGTATTGAAAGCCGCTGAGAGGTCAAGAAACACCAAGATAGAGGAATGACCCCCTATCCCGGGCTCGCCAGAGGTCATCAGTCAGTGCAACCAAAGCAGTCTCAGTGCTGTAGCCGGGCCTGAAACCAGATTGAAAAGGGTCCAGATAATTCGTTTCATCCAAGGATCGCAAGAGTTGGGACACCACCACCTTCTTTACAACCTTTCCCACAAAGGGGAGATTGGAGACAGGACGAAAGTTCTTCAAAACAGCTGGGTCCAGGGAAGGCTTCTTGAGGAGGGGCCTCACCACTGCTTCCTTCAAAGGTTGCAGGAAAGACCGCTCCATCAAGGAGGCGTTGATTATCGCCTGGAGCCAGCTTCGTGTCACCTCCCTACTGGCAGAAATAGGTGGCGGCATTCATTGCCCTCACAGCCTTGTCCACTTCATCAGGGGTCACAGGCTCAAACTCGCTCCAGATAACATGACTAAGACCAGCCCCGGGCATCTTGGCTGGCACTGCCAGTCGGAGTCCAGGTCCCTCTGAATCTGAGCGATTTTGTCCGAAAGAAACTGAACAAACTTCTCAGCTCTCCCCTGCAAGGGTTCCTCTGCCTCCTCCACTTTAAGAAGGGAGCGGGTCACCCTAAACAAGGCGGCTGGGTGAGATTCTGTGGATGCAATAAGTGCGGAAAAGTGAACACGCTTTGCCGCCCTTATCGCCACTAAATAAGTCCTAAGATAGGCTCTTAATAGTGATCGGTCAGATTCAGAGTTACTGGCCCTCCAATGTCGCTCTAGACGTCTCTTGTGGCGCTTCATCTCCCGGAGTTCCTCAGTAAACCAAGGCGCCCTCCGGGGACCACTACCACAGAGAGGTCGCAGAGGCGCAATTCGATCCAGGGCCCCGGACGCCGCCTCATTCCAGGCCGCAACCAGGGACCCAGCCAAGTTGTGGACAAGGGAGTCAGGTATTTCCCCAAGTTCCTCCTGGAACCGATCTGGGTCCATTAGGCACCTGGGGCGGCTCCACCTCCCTGTGGTGGGGGAATGATGCTCTGAAATCCAGCCTCAATAGGAAATGATCTGTCCACGACAAAGGAGAGATCTCTATTCCCCTTAATTCCAGATCATGTCTCCATTGCCCTGAGAGAAACACAAGGTCAAGCGTGTGACCACCCCTATGAGTCAGATCCTGGATTACCTGGGTCAGGTTCATGGTTGCCATGGAAGCCATGAACTCTTCCTCACCAGAATGCCCAGGTTTCCCACCAGCATTGGGCTAATAAGGCAATGCCTGCAGCCAGAGTCTAGTAAAGCTTTAACTTTTACAGCTTTGGGCATGAAGGGGCTAGGATAGTCACCGTCCAGGTGAGGGCCACAATGGGCCCATTTATCAGGGGTTTGTCTTCAGAGTTGTCGTCTGACAAGTTGGATGCCCCTGCGGTGTAGGCCAGGGTTCTTTTCCCCCATTGGGCGGGGGGACTCAACGGCCTCGTTACCCCTCGTGGCCATTTTTCGCGGCTTGGCAGGTGATCTTCCTGACTTCCCGGCTGGCATCGGTCAGTCTTCTGCTGAAGGTTCCTCAAGCAGCATTCTGTGGTGCGATGTCCCTCTTTCCTGCACTTGAAGCAGCCGGTGGTCTTCTTGGCCATGGATTGAGGCTTCGTGGGCTCATGTGATGGCTCAGGGGGTGATCAGTTCCACGGCTTCCCTCTGCAATTGAGCAGGTCAATCTTGGCTTCCTCTTCCAGGATGTACCAGTCGTGCAATTGGTGTGGGTCTCCCCAGGGAAGGCAGGCATTATAGAGGTCTACCAATGGCTCAGAACTCCTGGGTGTATTCAGCCTGCCTTGCTTCACTGTCCTAATCTTCTCACAAGCCTTCCAGTCTGCCAACAGGTCCTCGAACTGTTGTCTAAGGAAGAACATGAATTGGTTGAAGTTCTGGAGCTTGGGGGCATTGGAATTGTGTAGGTGCACCACCCAATCAGCTGCCACGCCATCCAGGGCTGCCTGTATGATGCAGATCTGAGCCTTGTTGGTCAGGATGTCTCAGCCATATTCTTCCATGTAGTTGAGGACTTGGGTTAGGAAGAAACCCAGGCAGTGCGGCTCCCCCCAAAACTTCATATCTACTGGCGGGAACTTCTGGATGGATCAATGCCTATGTCGTTGTCTCTTTGTCATCCATCCCAATCAGCAGCTATCGCACGGCATGAAGTGGGGGCTGCTGCCACGATGGCTGCAGTCTTAGCTGCTCCATCTGACGTTCCTGGGGCTTCGGCTTCGGACTCTCCCTCGGTGTCTCCTTTGCTGCAGTCCAAGGTAACGGTGCCACTGCGGGGTTCGGGCTTTTCATCTTTGAGGGAGATGAGGGTTGATTTCATCAGGTCAATCGCCTTCTCCAGGATCCAGTTCGACTACTCCCTGCAATCATCTTCATCTTTGCTGAGGAGCAGTGATCTCTCCATCTCTTGCTTCCATCCCAATTGGTGGCTGCCTCACCTCAGCATCACCTTTCTCAATTTTTTCTCCCACTTGTCCTTCTTGACTATGCCCATGGACCAGCAAGGCTTATGGCTGTGTGCCTCCACCACCTCTTCCTCCAAGGCGTAGGATGTCTCAGAGCTGGACAGCTGGCAGGGTTCCGACTGGAGGGAGGGCTCCCCCTTTGCAGTGGCTTCTTCCTTCTCTGCACCGGTGTCTGACATGGTAGACTTTGCAGAGTTCCCTGGCAAGATCTGTTCTTGCAGGTTGACTACTATTGCAGATCCTGTCATGTCAGGACCCACTTCAATACCTCATCCCAAGAAAGTAGAACTCATGGAAGCAAACTCTTCCAAAAGGAACTTTTTATTAGAAGAAGTTGATAGCAGGCATACTAGACAGAATCTGAGGGGCTCCCATACAGATTGATAGGTTAAAGTGTCCTCAAGCAAACCCCACCCCATAGTTCATCTGGACGATTCAAACTGGCCAATCCCCAGGTTTTAAGTCACGGAAAGGGGAGATAACATCAGGCTGGCTCTGGTCATGGCAGCAATGTTTAGATGACTCTTCGCACCTTCTCTTGAGAACGGAGAGATAAACCAGGTTCCGGAAGTTATATGTTTTTCTTCCTCCCCTTTTGCTAGCTGACAGTTTAGGGAGAAGACGTACAGAGAGAGGAAGAGAGCAAGGGAAGTATAAAATATGAGAGAAGAGCAAGGGAAGTATGAAATCAAATAGATATGGGTTCTGACAAAGGGACATGTTATTATATTTTGTCTCCATCTTTATTGTTTGTGTAATTAATTTCTGTGAAGATATATAGAACGTAGATCATAGAACAAATGCACCATTCCTTAGCAAAGCAAATGTATCACTTCATACATTTCAGTATATTATTCTATATACAGTAATTTAATTTTCAGAATACATTCTATTCAAAGCACAAAAATCTTCTGCAAACATGCATGACTCAATAATACAGATCATTCCTAAGAGCTTGGGAATATTTTTTCAACAACCAGGTCTCAGAAATAGAAAGATCCTGATCATCTTTGAGTTAGGAATGTATTCTTATTGTTTTTATTATGTCTGATGACATGGTTGTTTAGTCTGTGGCTGATGATATCTCACCAATCTGCCATAACTTCATATGCACATACATAAACATTACACAGACTTAATTTTGTAGTCTAAGGCTGGCCGTGAGCTCAAAAGATCACTGAATCCCTATGCTCCATAAAGAATTTCTCCACCTCTGACTTATAGCTAGGTTAGGCAACTTTGCCTGATTATCCTCTCTAAATACCTTTACCTGATCTTATTATGCCGAATTTTTTTTAAATTTAAATCAAGGCATGGATAGTTTTCTCCAGTATTTCAAAGCTTAACAGATATCTCCTCCATAAAAAAATAAGGTGTCATCTAACCTGCAATAGGCTTATGAATATCTATGAACAGATATACCTTTAAACATACTTTTTAAAAAACTCAATACATATTCTTTTTTAAAAATAGATTTTAATTTTGGATTACAGAACTGGTCTCCCACCAAACTAAAGACAGCTTGCTACCCATATATATTGACCCATGAGGGTTTGAATTATCCTCTGTTCATAGCTTGCTTTGAGGCATAAAGTTCACTTTGCAAAGTTATTATTGGGATTTGGGGATAAAAAAAACAATCTGAGAATGTGTTCATAGTGCTCTTTTTCCATATGACTAGATTATATTGTTAGGGGAAAAACGTACAAAGCAAACAAATACAAAGCAAAGCACCTCTATGGGACTGAAATCCTTTGTATATGTTGTTATTTGCAGTGCATGCCAAGAAAGCCATGGGCACAAGAGCCAAGCTGGCAAGCTAATTAAATATATGAATGTATATGTTTAAACAGCCTTATAAAGGAGCATTGGAAATCTACAAGATGAGCGAATATCTTATAACTTCTTCCGCAGGTGCAAGGATAGCTACAAGCCATGGACTTTCTGTCCTACTTCTTGTTTGTGGCTTTATGAAGGGTGCTTTGCTTTGATCTAAAAAGTGCTGACTTTTTCCAATATCACTTTCTCTTCTTAAAGCAAAGAGCAAATCGCCTGTAAAATCTACGGAGTGGACAGAAAAATTGATCCTAACTTCCAACCACCACCCTGCACCCAATGTACACTAATTCACTACACAGAGGAGCACCTTCTTCAGAAAACACATACAAAATCAATAAATAAAATATTACACTTTTTAAAAAAAAGAAAAGAAAAAAAAGACAAATATCAAGTTCATTTCTTTTGAATCTAATTTTTTTTTCCTTTTCCTTTTTTCTCTCTTTTTCTTTTTCTTTTTTAAGAGGAATTGGCACACGGTAATAAAATATTGTTCAATGTGGCAATGTACATTTTTCTTTATTTTTATTTTTCTTGACTCAAACAAATGAAAGTGCTGAATTACCTTGATTCTTCAGCTGTTATTTATATATTTTTTTATTTATTCATTTTTTGATATTATCAAACTAGACATGGTTCTTATCCGGAAAGAGATAACTCTAAGCAGAAAGATAATAAACTCAACTTCCCTTCTACTACATCTCAACACATAGCCTCTCTAGGTTTCCAGATGCCAACTTTACTCAGATGGCAGCAGAGGGAAACATCCTTTGGAGGAACATCTTTTTTGGACGGCAAATCTTGCCACAAATCCAATGCAGCTAATAAGTACAAGAAGTCTATAAAGATGGAAAATGTGCAAAAAAATGTCTGAGCCTTAGTTGGAGTTTCTTAGTTCATTTCTTCTTCTCATGATTATTACTTTCTTTCCTGTTTGATGGTGGCAATTATCAGCCTGGCCAACCCCTATGGGGTACTTAAAGGTTTCTATAAATACATATATTATATGTGCGTGTTTTCTATTTTGATAGGTTTTCTTTAATTTTGCACTTCTATATTTGCAAACTTTAACTTACATTCTGTAAACTGTTTTCATGTGTGATACAACTTCAAACAGATGTTCCTTGGTACATTTATATGTCAGTTTTAAATATTATCTCAGTGTGCTGCCACCAACTTGACATCTTTTTTCTTTTACCAAAGCATTTATTTTAAGTTATAATTCAGTACTATGTGGCATTTTGTAATTCATGCAATCATTTTCCACTAGCCTAAGTCCTTGCTGATGGCAATGCACCCCTCTACTAACTCTGTAAAAATGCACATTTGTTATGGTTTCCAACAGAAATATTTGAGTTGCCCAGGAATGTTGGAATTATTTCTGGAATATATTTTATCAATTATATATACCCTGCAAAAAAAATTGAAAGGAAAAATGAGAAAGAGAAGAGAGACAGAAAAAAAATGTACCCTGTTCTCTGGTTGGGTGGGTTTTCTTTTAATTTTGTTATTAATAAAATCAGAACTTGGTATACCAACAACTTAATTTGCTCATAATATAGGAAGTAGTCTCATGTATGAGGCTACACAGAATTATTATATTTTAATTGACTTGTGTACTGTATTTGATGTGATAATGAGACAGCCTATATGAGAATGACATTTCTTTGTGAAATCAGATATTTTTTAAAAAAAATATGCAAGTCTTAATACTTCCTAGCTAAATGAGTGCCAACAGAATGTGTTAATAACTGTATATTAAATGAACCTTTTTTCTATTAAAGAGATATAATATCAACCAATAAGCCTCTAGGGAAAATAACAAAGATTCACAATGAGCTGTTCTTCACTTGCTGTAAATACAGAGTGAAACTTTCTCTACTGTACTGACTAGCCTTTTTTGAATCTGAATCTCTGATCCCATCCACATATATAGATTTAGTTTTCAACTTACACCCAAAAAAAATTGGCATGGTAGTTTAGTTGTAGGCCATTTAGTAGCAATTCTGTTTTTCTCCATACAGAACTGTATGTCACCTTGGGACTTTGGAAGAAAAGTGGATTTGCCAATAGTAATTTCATTTTATGTCACAAAATGAGAGATGACTAGAGATCAAGGAACTTAATATTCCAAAATTAGGGCTTAAGAAAAGTTTCTTGATTTCCTGGTTTTCTCACTCTTTTGTGAGAAAAGCTATTTCTTAAGAATCAGATGAAAGCAATGCATTAGATGTAAATAGTAATAGAAATCATATACTCATAATACATACATGGAATACATAAAGAAATCCATAATGCAAGTGTCTGGCAGCAAAGTTATTACTCAAGAATTCAATTCAACCAGTCACTGACATGCAAGATAAACTTGGGAACAAAATTTCAGACTCATGAGTAACTGACTATCTTTCTTTTTATATGTCTTGCTGCCAGTTGACTCCCTCATCTAATTTCTTCCATTTGATACTCAGTTCTATAAATTTAAACAAAGAGAATTGGGCTTGTCCTGAGCCTGGGAACGGGTTATTTAGAAAAAAGGGTCTTTCCCCTTCTCTCCTCTCCTGTCTTAAAATTGTCATTTCCTATACCTCAGAGAGCACATATAAGATTGCCAGACAATAATAGCATTCCAGGACAAGAGGGATTTTATATATAAAAAATCCCTGTGCTGACCACACCAATCCGCTGTCTCCTCCCTAGCCCTGCAGTCGGTCAGATCCATTCCTCCACATCCTGTGCCAGTATTTCTGTCGATGTGTAATTCTGGATTGTGGCCGGCACATACCTCCCACCTATGATTGGCTGTATCACGCCTACTTCAGTTACATTGGCCAACATCCGCCTCAACCTCACTGCCCTGCCAGCTGGACATACTTGTCACGAAACAACCAGCTATTTAATATTGCTGCCTAGTCACTCCCCCCACTGTCATGGCTCAATGTGCTGTCAGTGCATCATGCAGCTATCCTGGTTGGCAATCCCCCAGCTGTGCTCGCTGCATCGACCACACCAATCTGCCGTCTCCTCCCCAGCTCTGCAATTGGTCTGGTCCATTCCTCCACAACCTGTGCCAGTATGTCTGTTCATGTGTAATCCAGGTCCTTCACCTTCCTGTTCTGGATAGTTGCACGGGAGAGGGGTGGTCGGCGGTTTGCCTATTCGAGCCCCTTGCATGACTGCTCATGTTGTCTTAGTGCCTGGTATGCCAGTAGCAAGTCGACATGTTGGTTGATGGAATGCTGGTCAGACAGCCAGGCTTCTTCAGCAAGTGGCCGCCCTTTGTCGAATCCTGGGCGATGACCTCAGCCCCTGCGAAGTTGAACATGTGGTTGTTCTCAACCATATGTGTCCACACCTGGGACAGTTGCTCATTTCGTCTGACTGCTAACTCATGATCATACTCCATGGAATCTGCTCACAGAGATTCTAAGCAGAAACTACAGGTGGCATTATTTGTATGAGTCAACAAAGAAGTGGCATTATTTGTATGAGTCAACAAACTGATAAATGTATATTCTTCTGATATGAATATTGGCAACATAAATCCTGAACAATCTAGAACTATAGAAGGGTAGGAAGAGAATTTTGTCATTACCCTGGGACTTTTGTTATTACAGAGATACAGCTACAAAAAGTTACAGGGACAGATTAGGTAACACTTCACTCAACCACAGTAATTGCATGAGGGTTCTTGGAGTCCTAGTGGACAATCATTTAAATAAGGGCCAGCTGCCCAAAAAGCCAATGCAATCCTAGGCTGCACTAACAGAGGAAAAGAATCAATATCCCAAGTGATGCTACTCTTTATAATGTCTTGGTAAGACCATACTTGGAATACTGTGTCCAATTCTGGTCATCACAATACGAAAAAGAGTGCAGAGAAATGCAATGAAAATGATTTGGGGAGGGGGGGTGAAGGCTAAAATTTATGAAGGGCAGTTGCAGGAATTGGGTATGTCCAGGTTAGTCAAAAAAAGAGCTAGGAGTGACATGGTAGTAGTCTTCCAATATTTGAAGGGCTGCCACAAAGAAGAGGGGATCAACCTATTTTCCAAAGCACCAAAAGACAAGACAAGAAGCAATGGATGGACACTGAACAAAGACAGAAGCAACATAGAATGATCAACTAGTGGAATAGTTCACTTTCAGAAGTTGTGGGTGCTCCAGCAATAGAGGCTTTTAAAAAGAGGCTGGACAGATATTTGTTTAAAATGGTACAGGGTCTCCTTCTTAAGCAGGGGGTGTATTAGAAGACTTCCAAGGCCCCTTCCAATTCTGTTATTCTGTTAACTTAAGGCACAAAAAGCAACTTTAGGTTGATTCCACACTGTAGTCTAAGCTGCCCGTCTCTTAAGCCAACTTTAGAAACTCCAGATTGCAACAGGCTGGTACTGGACTGGGCTAAAGCAAAGTCCAGACTGTGGCCACCATTGGATCTGCTAGATTATCCTTCTGCTTCTGGCCTTCTTAACCATGCAGGGAAGGCAAATCTCACAGGCTGGATCATTTATGGAACAATCTATTATTGCTTGTCTTTATCTCCTTAAGGACTGATTCCTTCTGATTAGTTCCTATGATTTTCACTTGCTTTCCCAAATATTTGTAGTTACGGAAATCTTTCCATCCCCTTCCCACATTACTTCCATTCACACTAAAGCAGACCTCTCCTCCTTTATGGTACTATCACTGTTTGGATGTTACAATAATCAAAGCAACAGGGAATAAGTTGTTCTTTTGTTTCTACATTGCTTTGAGGGCCCAGGAGAACTTTGTAGCATGGAAGAACTGATGGTTTAGCTTCATTGAAACAAAATAGTATATATTGATACTTTTTTCCCAGAAAAAGAGAAGTAAAGCTTTGTAGTGGAAAATCTATGCAAAATCAAGGAGAATATGCTTCACTGGGGGGGAAAACCCTGAAAGGGTGCTCATTGGAAGAAGTAAGGGTTTAATGAAACATGAAGATAATTAATTGAATTAATAGGCTATTGTAAATTAACTGCAGAGTTATAAAGATCTTACACAATCTCTAGCAAGGGGTGAGATGGAGCTGTTGCATCCATTTTTGCTCTTCATGATCTTTAAGGGGCTTTCAGTATCAATTAATCATGGGGTTTTTCTGGACTTTGAAAGTTGGGCTGAGTAACACTGTGTTGTGTTGTGTTGTGTAATTTTTCTCAAGTGCTGGTTCCAGTTAGTATTGATAGGGAAAGATTTGGTATTGTGTGGTAAGTGGGATGTTGCAGCACTCAGTGGTCTGTTTAACATCTACATGAAACTGCTGGGTGACATCATCCTTGGTATGGAATGAGGTATCTTCAGTATGTAACTCTGTTTCTCTTTCTGGACAGTGTTGTACTGCCCAGACAGAACCTACATGCAGTTTAGGTCCTCCTGGATGAGTAGCAATTGGGGGAATTTAACTACATTTATAAATGTAGTTATAAAAGTAATAAGGGTTGGTCAGATAGCCTTCTTTCAAGGATATGAAGGAGTAAACAACACATCTCAAACTCATTGATAGATGTATTGTCCTGCCTTAGCTCTGAAAGCCAGCTGCACCAGTCTCTCTCTTCCTCTCAGCCCAACCCTCCTCACAGGATTATTATCATGGGGAAAATAGGAGGAAGAAGGTGTGTTGGATACATTTACCATCTTTTTTTTATTGAAAAGTTTTATACAAGTTTTTAACAATATCCCCCCCTGAAATAACCCCCTCCCTCCCTCCCCCCTCACTTCCCAGAGCTGGTTATAGGGTTACAAATAAACAAACAAATTCTAAATAAACTTATCCAACTATACTAATAACAAAATCAATAATGTGCTTTAACTCGAATACAAAACAAATTTAAGCAAAAAAACAAAAATAACAATATAAGCAATTCCAAATTAAAAACTAAAAATTATTCATAATCTAAATAATACTTTTTAATCCCATATCAATTCTAACCCATATTTACTCTACATGTAATTTATCTATCTTCTCCACGCTGAGGTGTATATTTCTTTTAAACAACCATTCATCCATAATAAAATTTTCCCTCCAATATAACCCAACCAACAAAGTTACATTCGATAAACTTGGCTCTTTGCCTCTTTTTTTTCCCCACCCCTAAGTAAATCTATTAATACCCTCCTACTTAAGAAGTTTCAGCAAACCATTCATCTTAATCACTAAAATTCTCACCACCAGAGATCCTTAGAATTTAAATTCTTTTACACCTTTACCCATAATATCTCATAATTATTTTTATACACTTTAAATTAAAAATTTATAATATATACTCCCAAATATTTAAACTTTTCCACTAAATCAACACCTTCTATTATTCTTTTTCTTTACATCTACATACTACACAAATCATTCACTATTCCTTTAAAACATACTAAGTCAAACTACCAGCTAAACTAACATTTATTGTTCTTTTTCTTTACATCTACATATTACACAAATCATTCACTATTCCTTTAAAACATCTTCTATTTCAAAAAAAAAAACTACTACCAAAGTTCATCATTTCCTTTTCTTTATTTCAACATCCGCCATCTGCTGTTCTTTTACTTTACGTCTATAGGCTGCACGAGTCATTCTCGGTTTCTTTAAAAAATCTTCTATCACAAGAGACTGCTGCAAAGGTTCAGCCTGTATGTCTCCTACATCCAATAACATAACACCTTCAACTGGCTGCTCTTCCAACTTTTCTTCTATTATCTCAGGTCGTAAAGATGATGGAGAGCCTGCCTTCAAAACAGAAGTGTAAAAATCTTTCACCTTTAAAATTGTATTAAGTCTATAATATATCCC